AAAAAAAAAAAAATTCCAAGACTAGTATAGTACAGTAGATGGTAACAAGTCACTGATGTAACATGTCAAACCAGTCAAACATTCAGGAAATTATAGAAACGGCAGTTTTAGCTGCCATTTGAACCAGCATCGTATTATTAATACAACTGATTATATTCCTATTATTAAGTTGGGAGATCGGTTCTTTTTTATAGAGTTCAATGTTCGTTATGGCCAATGAATATTTAAAAATCGTTTTAGTAAACCTCTTTGGAAACAATCTACTTTATTATCGAACGATTTGCAAACGATTTATTTAGCGACCACAGTTCACTATTTTTAGAGAAACATGAATTACTGCAAATGAATTATTCTTAGTTTTTTTTTTTTTTCTTATTTTAATTTGTTTCTTCTGAAAGTGTACTTTCTATCACATATAATTCCACTGTCTTAGTTAGGCCTAGGCGTAGTCTTATGCCTCATCGTCACCCACTACACAGTAAATCAGGAGCCCCTCCCCCATACAGTACAGACGTTTGCTAGGTAACAACGTGATTGCACCTTTCTTCCCAGGTGTTCATGTAACATTGACATAATTGTTAGCTAACCAGTTGTGTGTATTTCTTTGTGAAAATGGGTACCGCGACATACTCATTTTCACAAAGCATTTGCATCCCCTCTTGGAAAGAGGGATTCGAAATAATTGTCTCCATATCTTCGCTAATTAAATTAATCACCGTAATTTAGCTTAAACTTATGAATTTAGGGAGCACTTAAAATGTGAAATAATCATTCACTACCCGACAAACTCCGAACTTTATTCATTCATTAGGCCTACATAATAGTTTCATATTGCTGTACTATATACTCCAACATCACTGGCGCATGGTAACAACCAACTGACTGCAGACCATTTCCGGTCACACATTACTCTCCATAACACAGCACCCCTAGTTCCGTCAACTCTGGATACATCACCTTTTCCTAGTAAGGCAAACTTTCCCTGCGTGCTTTTTTCATGGATTAACACCTCTGCTTTGCACATGGATGCCTTGCCCAAGCCAGGGCTACAAGAGCCGCATTGTTAGCATTGTATAATAAATGAGTGCCTCTGCAAATGAATTATTCTTAGTTATTTTTTTTTCTTATTTTAATTTATTTCTTCCGAAAGTGTACTTTCTATCACATATAATTTCACCGTCTTATTTAGGCCTAGTCTTATGCCTCATCGTTCCCCGCTACACAGTACATCAGCAGCCCCTCCCCATACAGTGCAGACGTTTGCTAGGTAACAACGTGATTGCACCTTCCTTCCCAGGTGTTCACGTAACATTGACATAATTGTTAGCTAACCAGTTGTGTGTATTTCTTTGTGAAAATGAGTACCGCGGCGTACACATTTTCACAAAGCATTTGCATCCACTCTTGGAAAGAGGGATTCGAAATAATTGTCTCCATATCTTCGATAATTAAATTAATCACCGTAATTTAGCTTGCACTTATGAATTTAGGGAGCACTTAAAATGTGAAATAATCATTTCACTACCCGACAAACTCTGAACATTCATTCATTAGGCCTACATAATAGTTTCATATTGCTGTACTACTGTATATACCCCAACATCACTGGCGCATGGTAACAACCAACTGACTGCAGACCATTTCCGGTCACACATTACTCTCCATAACACAGCACCCCCTATTTCCGTCACCTCTGGATTTTAGTTTACAGTATGTTAAAATTAGAGCATGCGTTAGTACTAAAAAGTACTTGGTCACTATTATTATTAAGCATAATATTTAAAGATAATAACTATTCACATTTAGTGTGTTTGCAATATACTAATAATTGTAAAACATTTTTCATAAGGTAGGCATTGTTGGTTTTTATATAGCAATAGCATTGTTGTCATTATCTTTGACCATCAATAATTTATCAGCAGCATCCACATCAGTAAACAGGTCAGAAAGTTCATCTTTCTTAGGAACTTGGTATTGAATTGCTGACTATTAATGTTATAAAGTTATTCCTCCATGTTGCTGCAGTACAAGCATTCAGTGGTGTTTTTATATATCACTAAATGATAATGTTAACCAACATTGTCGTCATTATCTTGGACAATCAATAATTTCAGGTCAGAAAGTTCATCTTTCTTAGGAACTTGGTATTGAATTGCTGACTAATTTAATGTCATAAAGTTATTCCTCCTTGTTGCTGCATTCAGTGGTGTTTTTGTATATCATTGAATGATCATAGGCAGTTTCAATCCTAATATTGCTAAAACCTAAACTTATTCATCCATGGTCTGATAGTCTCCTCTATTATTAGGTTTTGCATTTTTTCAGATGGTAGTGAAGTATAGTTATAGAAGCAAGAAAGAATCTCTCAGAAAATAACCCGCAAATTCATAATATTATTGAATGTTTTACTATTTATCATCAATTGTCTTTACAGAAGTCAGTGCTGATGGGTATCACCATGCACAGCAAAATAAATTTATGTTAAGAAAGTTAATTTAACCAGATCTCATGGAAGGGATTTTTTTCTAGCTTGGTACCCCTGTGGTTGTATTTAACCATGTGATCGGTTTACTGTAGCTGATTTGTGAATGAGCTCAGATTCAGTGTTTCTGGATGCTCTAGTGCACATACCTGTTGTGTTATTGGTGACATCTTTTTTATGTTCTTCCAATCAGGTCTTCAATTTCCTGCCAGTTTCACTGATGCAAACTGAATCACAGTTCAGGCATCCAATCTCATAAACTACATCACACTCTTCTCTGGCATTGATTTGTTCTTTAGGATGGATAAGGTGATCTTGTAGTTTATTAATATTTTGTTGTGTTTTATGATTTCTATTTGTATATCAAACACAATGATCATATAAAATAGCATTTATATGGCTTTTCTTGTCTTAACAACATCTCCAAATGCTTTCCGTGTCTTAACATCTCAAAAATGTGCAACCAATTTATGAGTTAAATTATTTATTATGGTAAATAATAAATAAATTGATATTTATTGTACCAGTAAATCAGTTGTTTAATTTTATTTCAGACATTCAAACTCCAAAGCTATCTTTAAACCTAGGACAAGCAAGTAGTGAGATAAATAATTACATTGGTGTCTTTAATAATAATATTATCATGTTATTTGTTACTGTGTCACTACAAAATCTCCAAAATCGATGGGTTAATTGAATGTTTTGCTTTCTCCCTCTCTATAGAGAAAGAGCTTGTTTAATTAATAGTACACAGAAACTCCGAAATCGGAGGTTTTATCGAAAGTTTGAAAACTCCGATTTTTTAGTTTTTGCATATAGTATGCAAAACCTCTGAAATCAGAGGGTTTATTAAAAGTTTGCTCTCTTTATATATATAGAGAGAGAGCTTGTTTAATTAATAGTACGCAGAAACTTGGAAGTCGGAAGTTTGATTAAAAGTTTGAAAACTCTGATTTTGAAGTTTTCACGTATAGTACACAAAACCTCCAAATTCGGAGGGTTGATTAAAATTTTGCTCTCTATGTATGTAATATATATAATAATATATTATAATATTTTATTTTCAATTGACTTTCATGTACAGGCATTTCAAATGCATCTTCAAACTCAGGTCATAGATGTGGTGAAGGTAATGTGATTTTTTTTTAGTACATATTTTATCTTCACAAAAATTAACTGATAAAATGGTATATAAATATAGATTACAATGAAAAATATTTATGTACCATGAACCTAAACTTTGTGCAAGTCTGTTTAAGTAAGGACATTCATACATTGGAGAATTTCATATGTGTTTTTCATTTTGTTTTTATTAATTTATTCATCTAATACACTATATTTAATTGTAATTGAATCATTATTCTTCACCATTTCCTTTACATTACACTCATGGTATTAGTTCTTCTATTGACTTTTATATGCTGTGTGCTTGTTATGCTTTACTAATTTTTGTGAGTTTTAACATATGCATTTATTCTTCTGCTCACTTTAGCTATTTGTTATGCTTTACTTACTTTTCTTTTCTAACTGTTAATTTATGAAACATTTCTATTTTTTTTCCACATGGAGAAAAATAGGGTGTGTTGGTGATTCCTTAATTATTGTATTGTGTCCTGAGTTGTTGTATTGCCAATTGAATTAAATATGATGAGAATCATGTTTTCTAAGGTTTTTAGTTTGGAGATAATGATGTCAATGTCTAGTCTGACAAAAAGCCAAGCAGAATAGAATTTAATGTTTATGTTAATTCTATTTTTAAGTTTTGAATAAATCAGTTATTTTCCTTTTCTGCTACTTACTGTAATATTGACCATAGTTGTTTTTTTTTCTGTTCATAGTTATCACCTTAGGATTGAAACGCCAGCGACTAGATGAACCTGATCCAGGAATAATATCCCAACCAGGTCAAAAGACTCCTCTGGATATGGTGAATGAGCTCTCAGAAAATATTGACAGGTTGTCACTAAAGGATATTCCAGAATTTTCGACAAAACTGAAAAGTGTAAACATGTATCTCAAAAATATTCAATTACACTTAGAAGAAATATCAAAAGGATCTATAGTATTTCATCTTTCTGTTTATGATCCATATGCATTGATAAATCTGTGGGAAATACATTCAAGTAGGGAACTCATCAAAGATTTTTCAGGATTAATAGTCCCAGAAAATCTCCAGGATGATTTTATTATAGCATGGAAGACAGTAATTGAGAGGGAAGAATATGAATGTGCCCTTAGGAGGCTGAAGAAAAGAGGTGAGTAAAAATATTATAATTCTGCTTATTTCAAAGCCTGCAGACAAAATGCAAAACAGAGGTCTTTGGTGAACATCTGGAATTTGAATCCTACTGGTCTCAACTGTAACAGAATAGATTATCAAACCGTCGTTCATACAAAGTGAATATCATTCCACATTTCAGATTAATTGAAGGAGAAATAATGACTTTTGCCATCCTTTTTTACCGGATCGGTACCTGTCTTATGTGTTAACTTCTTACTGTACTTCTCTAATCGCTAGCCGTGTCTCATCAGTTGTTTTTTGCAGTGTTGGACTATTTAGACACTGCAATCTGGACTTATATCTAGTGATGTATTCTATTTGTGTGATGTGACATCGGTATAACTAAATCATCAGTTTCAAAAATGTTGAAATGTCCAATGTGCAGCTCTGTAATGTATTTTAATGTAGCAATTTTTCCTTTGAATACTCAATAAATTTTATTTGTCATATATACCGTATATTCCAGTGTATAAGCCGCACCTGTGTATAAGCCGCACCCCTAATTAGGATGCGAAATATCACGTTTTTTTGTGTCCCCTGTGTATAAGCTGCATCTATTTTTAAACTCCAAACGGTTCCCATAGTGTTAAGTTTTTAATTATTTTGAAGCATTGACATTATTTACATACAAATGTTCACATAAAGAAATTTCATCCTTTTCGGCTGATTATTAAACAACAAACAACTGGAAATGCGTGTAAACTTCTGGCTACCGCATTGAAACAACATATTCTTACTCTAGGGAAATCCCCATTTCTTGCTAGACAGTCGTGCTGCGTTAAATTTTCAACATCAGTTTAGTTTAGGTTTAATAAAATCTAATAAAATAAAATAATTGAGTATATTTATCTATTTCAATCAATCATTTTATTATTATGGTGACAATAACAGTCGGTATTAAGCTAAAAAGATTGGTAATTCTAGGCCGAAGTCATTGTTACCATACTCACAGCCCACGGTGCGCGAAGCATGCACCATCACGCACCACGTTTTATAAACAGAAACAGAACTGGTGAGATATCATGTGATACAGAGTATACACATAGGCAGAGGATGTATGCCTTTCTAAAGTTAAATTCCAGTAAAATAATTATACAACTTCAAGAAAACTCGTGTTTTTATTGCATATACTGATTTCACAAGTTTTTATTTTAAAATTATAGCGGTATTATTCTTTCTGTAGCGGTACTAGCCACCGGGAACCAGAGTTTAAACAGCAAGTTTCAACCAGCAACCACGTGTGTTTTGTTGCGACATCGTAAATGAAAGCTGCTCACTTGACCTCAAGGACCGAACTGCCGAAAAATTTTTTATTTTTTTTTAGCAAAGCGGTTTCAAAGAGAAACAGGGTGTTCCAAAATTGTTTATGAATGAATGTAATTATGAAAATAATTATTTAGACAAACCAAGACATTGCTTGAATGTCGTAGAGAACGTAATAGGAAACCTAGTACAGCCTGTACTGAGTATGATATTAAATAGTAGGCCCAGTGTTGGTGCCAGAGGGGGGCTGGGGGATATACCCCCCGTCGTGGAAGCATAGCTGATTTAGCATGTACAATCTACCATGAAGCGCCTCTTAACGGCTGCTACGTAGGTAGTCATGGACCACGTCCATACACAATTCAGAACAATGACGCTGCAAGTTATGGGTTATTCTCCTACCTTTACCTTTACTTTGACATTAGAAAATAGCCTACTTTAAGTCATATTATAGTAACTCGATGCCTATCAAATAAGTAATAAAAAGGCCTAGGGTAATGATCAGTGTATAGGCCACACTCCAAATTTCAGTGGGAAAATCGTGTATAAAATTTGCGGCTTATACACCGGCATATACGGTACATGTACAATACATACAATGAAATTTGATCTGGTTCCTTAACAAAAACAAACATAAAATACAAAAATTACAAAGTTTTAGGTTACAAAGTGCTTTGTTTTGGTCATCGAGTTCACATGTTTAAGCGTTGCTGCTGGCAGTCAGCGCAGCAGCAGGCAACTCCACCAGTACCCATTTATACTCCTGCGTGGAGAGAAGCAATGCAGATAAAGTGCCTTGCTCAAGGACACAAACAAAATGGCCTTGAGGCTGGGAAACTAAACTGTTCCTGCTGCGACAAACCATGTCCAAAGTCCCACAAACTCACGTTTGTAGGACAACATGCAGCCTATCTTCTTTTTTTTTGTTATTTTGGTTCTGAAATTAAAAATCAACTGCTTCACACTGTCAGTGTAATTTTAATCATTTTTATCATGAATACCGCAACTATTTTGTTTTAGTTAATTTCGAGGGCTCTATCATATGGTCACCTAAAAGTAAAACTTGATTTCCATGCAATTGCTACACAGTGAGTCGCTACAGCATTTTCAAGGCAATCCTTGTACTGCGTACTGTCCTTGACCCAATCAGGAACACTCCCTGATTCAACTGACCAATCAGCTTTGCCAAAGGGTTCGGCGATATCGTGTAGCGATTTTTATTGAAACTGAGCTTCATAAACAGTAATTCATTATTTAATTTCTAAAAAAAGTTCATAATATACAAGAATTAAGTTCTCATTATTATATACTATACAGGTTTTCTTTCTTTTATTTATAGTTCAATATGACACTTTTTATGGCATCATAAGTGATGACATGGAATGGGAAAGTCAGATGGCAGTAGACCTAACACATAGAAGACCAGATTTAAAGTTTAATATCCTCAAACATTGGAGGTTGTGCAAACCTGAAACTATTAATGATTTAATAGCAAAAAGCAGAAAAATAATCATCGCATTTTCACCAAAACCATTGACTGAATATTCTAAGTATGCTGCACACAGTGTTGTTGTAAAAATGCTGGAAGCAAAAGCACTTGATGATGCTAAGATAATACCAGTCAAAATTTCAGAAGGTTTTGTTGTACCTCCTGAGTTTGCATCATTTACTGTCATCAATGCCAGTGAAGAACACTTTGTTGATAAACTTTTGCAAGTCTTTGACGAGTGTGGTAAGTATCAGCAGCCCTATTATTTGGTATTTTATTACCATTATTGTTTGTTAGATTTTGCAAAATGCGTAGATATACATTAATGGAGCAGTACATATTGATCAATTTTAAAGCATTTATATACATATGAATCTAATAATAATAATAATAATAATAATAACGATTTTTAAAGCGCGAACATCACCACCAAAAATTGGTGCTCAATGATGACAGTATGGTCATCAATAGAATAAAACACTTGGTAATATTGATAATTATAATATAATTATGAAATGATGGCAAAAAGAAGTGAAATAATACATTAATGCTGTTAAATGACATTGTAAAAATTGGCTAATTGTAGTGTTAACATCTTTAAAAGCAACAACAGTTATATAAATTGTAATTATCTATAGATATGAGAATTTCAGTTATTAATCATTCAAAAATTGCTTTTTTCATTTAAAAAGAAGAGACAGAAAGTGTCGCACCCGATGTGCCATCCTTTATAGCCATTGAAGGAACATCTGAACCACTTTCAAGTCATGACCACAAGGTAGAACTGGTGGAAACAAGTGAAAGTGAGTTTAATTTATTCACTATCATAGTTGTTGTTGATGTTGTTCATGCTCTGCAGTATGCAGCACAACCATCCTTCTTAATTTACAGCTGTAACAGAGATTTAAAAAAGTGACATGCCTGATGTGCCATCCACTATGAGCCTTGAAGGAACATCTGGATAACTGTCACTGGAGAAGAGATGCGAGGAAATTTATAGGGATAAAAAAGATTTTTGTAAAATTTGTAGCAATAATTATTTTAATCATGTTGAAGATAAAATATTAAAATTTGTATGTTCTCTTTATATTTTCTACAATTTTGTTACTATATATTCAGCCATTGACCAACTTTGTTGCTTACATTTTAATACAAAATTAGTTAATATTTTAGAACAACTAACTGCTTTGCATTAGTTTGAAATAATAAATTAATACTTTAAGCAATATTGAATATGTTTATTAGAGTCAAAGGCCTGTAAATAATTTAGAATGAATACACTGTCTAAAAAGATAGTAAGTGTGAGAACAAAAATATTATTTGCCAAATATCATTTTTTATATAGCAAAACTTCTTTGAAAAGCTGATGACCACATTTTGTTTTTCTCAAAAATAGAAAAAGAATTATTGACAGGATCATCCTCTAAAACTCATTTGTCGTAAATATTTTTAAGTCTGATGGTGTTGCTGTTGTTGAATATTACATTACTTTATTATGAGAAATTTATAATTTTCATAGTTAATGTTTATAAGCATATGATTAACTTCCAACATAATCCTGTATGTTAAGTCTGTTTGATTTTGGCTTTTTTAGCATCTGAAGGAATACTTGAGGACTCAGAAGATAGTGATAAAGAACATGAAACACAACTTGTAAAACCAAAAATGGGTAAGTTTAAAAATTTCAGAGATGTGAGTAAATACTAGATGTTTTTATTGTTTACTTTATGCATTGACTAAGAATTAGCAAGGAGGTAGCATTTATTATACTAAATTTTTGAAAAAGTATGTCAGATATTCACTAAAAGAAGAAGCCAATAACTTGTCCTCCTGATTGCCTATATGGTTTGAGGCCTAAAAAAATTAAATTGTTTTTTGCCCTTTTTTTTTTAAATGATAAAAAGAGGCTGGTGGAAAAATCAAATCAAATCAATCTTTATTCATTCGTTCAATAGTAACACATGCTGAAACCAAGGAGGCAAGCCTGTAAACTGATTCCGGTAACTTTAAATACAAAACCATCAAAATTACTGAAACAATGATGATGATGATGATCATAGTAATAGTGAGAATAATAATAATTGTTATTATTTTATTTTATACAAATTTAATTGTTATATTACAGTAGAACCCCTATTAAGGGGCCACCTTTGGGACTTAAAAAGTGTCCCCTTAATAGGGTTGTCCCCTGAATATCGGTACTGCTATTCGGAGGACACTGACCAAAAATATGAAATTGTCCCCTTAATAGGGGTTTTTGGCATGTTTTCGTATAATGATGACACAGATTCTTTATAATTTTATTTCAATTGACTTAGAATGAGTTACAGTTTTTATTTGATAACTAATTTATAACAATAATTTGCAATGCAAAAAATAATTCATTTAACATATGAAATTAACAGATATGTAAATTAAAACTACAAAATTTGTGTTTTTTTCCCGATATTGTGTCTATTGGAGTGCAGTGTTAATGACCAAATATTTTTTTTTTTAATAGTGAGCTATTTTGAAAATGGGCTTCTTTTCAAAAAAGCATAAGCTTCTTTTTTCGAGATGCTATACATACACTGTACATGAATTTTAAAAAGCAAAATAAATTAAAAACAAGCTTGGTATATACATTAGTTAGGTGATTTAATGCCAGTTAAATACACTCCATAATACAGATTGATGTTACTACATTGACCTTACTTATTGTTTAATTGTAGAAATTCACAAAATTTACACCATTCATTTTAAAAGGAAGCCCCCTCTTTACTTTGCAAAAGTATTCTCGAAAAGAAGCCCATCTCAAAATGAAGCCCATTCAAAGTTTGCAAAAAAAAGCCCTGAGCTTCAATTTGAGGTTTTACTGTATCAAAATACACAAAACAAGAAATCTCCATGTTTAATGGTCAAAATTGGCAAGATTTTATTTATACAAAGTAACACATGCACTAAACATCCAATGCCCATTCTAAGGATGGAAAGAATTCTGGTTTGATGTTAAGTTTATTGCTCAAAAGGTGTCAAAATATAAATTTGATTTTTTTTTTCTTATTTTGTGACTACTGTAGTTGTTTGGATACAATAAAAAAAAGTATGGGTTAAATTGTATTGATTTTACCATTTTTGGTCATTTTTTTTATTAGCCTTTATTAATATTGTTTTTAGGCATGTTCTTTTTCATGTTGTCGTTGGGCAAATTTTTTAATGCCACGATAACTAGTTTAGTAAGTCAGTCTGGTTTGAAACTTGGCAGAATGCAAGATGGTATTATAAGAAACCTATTGTTTTTGGTACATATGTGAATATGCTACTTGCTCCTTTGCATAATTAATGTCACTAATCAGGTAAGTTAGGATGTTTACCACGATAAAGTTTGGTAATTCCAATTGGTTTTAAACTTGACAGAATATAAAATATTAATAAAAAGACAGGACCAAATTGTTTTTCATACATATTATGAATATGTGGCAAAGACAAGCCAAACCAGTCACTCGTTGCAAAAATCGATTTTGAGTTATTAATACAGGGTTAAAGAGTAGAATAAGAGCTATAAAATGGTAAAAATATCATTCAAATCTGACATTTCCTTATGAAGTTACAAGCATTTAAGCATACAGCTGTTTAAAGAACAATATATGAGAAATCAGCCTTCAAAGTTTATGATTTCAGGCATTTCTCATGCAGAAACTATCATAAAATAATTAAAAAGTGTTGTTTTAACATTGAAATTAGGAAAAATTACAGCACAGCATGATGTATAGGTACATAAACCTTAGATTAGTGAAATACAATAAATTTTTACAAATTTTACATTCTTGCATGCTTTTGCTATTTTCTCTGAAACACAATTTGCGACGAGTGACTGGTTTGGCTTGTCTTTGCCACATATGCTAATTGTTTATTTGCATAATAGATATTTCACTAATCAAGTAATTTAGGATATTTATCATGATAACTAAAGGTTGGCAAGTCTTATTGATTTCAGACTTGGCAGAATTCAAGATGGTTATATGAAGACAGAGCGTATTGTTTTTTGTATGTGTGTGTTTAATAGAAATAGATGAAAGATATGATGATTGTTTTTCTTTCACCATGTATTTAAATTTAGTTTTTATGAAATGGAGTATTATATGAAATAGGCCTTTTTCATGCTGCGGTAGACATCTTTGATCGATGACAAACAGTGCTGAGCAGCGAAGTGTAACCAATAAAAATAACATAGCGTTTCGACCATATTTTCAGAGGTCATGTTACTTAAAAAATCATAAATCCTTAATGGAGGGTCGTGTCAACATAATTTTTAAATTAAAGCGTTCGCAAGGGATATATCTCCGTACTGTATGAATAAAAAAAATTTAAAAATTTGTTTAGTCTGTCAAAACTTAACTGGAAAATGGAAGACTGATTTTGTGTAATGTTATTACACACACATTGCCATTATTTCACTGTTCGACCAAATATCATTTAGCGTTCCGGCCATATTTTCGGAGGTTATGTTACTAAAGAATCATAACTCCTTAACAGAGGGTCGTATCGACATAATTTTTTCTTTAAAATGTTTGCAAAGAATATAGCTAAGTACTGTATGAGTAACAAAAACATTAAAATGTGTTTAGTCTGTCAAAACTTAATTGAAATAATAGCAACATGCACTGTACAAAATCGGTTTTCTATTTTCCAGTTAAGTTTTGACAGAATAAACAAATTTTCAATTTTTTTTTTATTTATACAGTATGTAGATATATCCTTTGCGAACATTTTAAAGAAAAAAATATGTTGACACGACCCTCTCTTAAGGATATATGATTTTTTGAGTAACATGACTTCCGAAAACCAAAACGCTATGTTATTTCTGTTGGTTACGCTTTACTGCTCATCATTGTTTGTCATCGATCAAAGATGTCTTACCGCAGCGTGAAAAAGGCCTATTATGTATTGTAATGTTGTTAATTTGATATGTGCCCTGTCTTACTGATTCTTCTGTTTATCATATTATTATATGTCCTTTAATGGAATTTTTAATTTTATTTATTGTATTTTGACAGACATTAGTATATTTTCATGCTCAGGATATTCAAGTGAAGGTAATATTATGTTGAAACTACACTTTGATATTTTCTGCATTATGTTTTGTACTGCCCTCAAATAGAGTGAGTAAACGTAAATGTTTTTCAGGTTCAAAACTTCTTTAATTTTTCTTTATCAATAGACTAGCTCCTTAATTATTGAACTTTATCTCCTTATTGTTGTTTTGGTTTATTGCCGCTTTGACCTGATACTCGTTTTGCTAGCCACATGCAATGGTTCCTGATTAGCCTGAAATCCCCTCTTGTTATGGTACGTAGATTTATTTACCAATAACAAAGATGGCGCTGCTCTCACTCAGCATCAACTATAATAGTTCTTGAAAGAAAGCACATTTTTAGTGACTGTTCGCTCGAAAAAAACTCCACGCACGCAGCGCTATGTAAATAAATCAAGAACAAAGCTGACGCGGCATGTGAAGAACGTTTAGTTTAGTGTATTCCCTGCCATCAAGTGCTCAGTTGGCTTAGTTCACCAAACAAGAGCAACGGCTCACCGGTCCACACTTTAATCTGAGGGTACACCTATTCAGTGTTTAACGCTCATGTTTGCAGCTTTCAGATGGGGCTTTTTGTTGACACTATTAAAGCATGCTCAAATCATGGAGGATATGCTATTGTAAGTTATTGTAAAAAAAATGTAATAAAAAAAAAATAAAGTGTCTTAAAATTGGGAAAAATTTTGAATGCCAATACGCGATTCAAACTCATGAACCTAGAACACATCGAAAACCGACCGTGCCATCCATGCGACGTGTCTTATTAGTGGCAATGGCAGTAATATACAGTCCTTGCTAAACCCCCTTGGTTTGTTTTGTAGATGTAGGGGGGACCCTGGGTTATATAATATTACTGTGCAAGAAATATTTTATTTTTTATGTATATAATTGTTTATATATGTAGGCCTATGTATACATACATATTTAATAATTTAAAAATAATTATAATTAATTGTAATATTAGTAGGCCAAAGCCTTTGCAGTCTGAATTCGGCCTATCAATATTACATATATTACTATTATTATTATTATTATTATTTTATTTATATATTATTTTATTTTATTTTGTATGATATACAGCTTTTTTCGCACTGTGGCAGTGCCTATAGAAAACAGCAGCTTTTTCGTACTGCGGCAGTTCGATAGAAAACAGCAGGTTTTTTTTCGCACTGCAGCAGTGCCATACTGGAATTGCCACTGTTAGAGTGTGGTTACATATGTGTGCAAGGACAGGCCAAACCAGTCAATCCTGACCAACCATGTTTTGGTGATAATAAATAAAACATGTTGGAATGTGAACATTCTTTAAATCTATTTATTGCACTAAACTCAACTCTATATCTATGCATCATGGTATGTTGTTATTTTGCCCATTTTCGATGTTAACGCAACATTTTTAAATAAATGATTTGGTGGTGTATGTGCTTTAGGAATGTCCGACATCATAACCTTTGAAGGCTGGTTTCTCAAATACGGTCATTTAAGCATAACCAGCTGTATTAAATTCCTCTTCTTCTAATAATGAAATTAAATGATTCTTTTACTTTTTTTTACTTTACTTTTTTAAATTGATTCTTTTGTTACAACAAAGTATAATTTCTTGAAGAGTTTAAAATGCATGACAAGAATTAGTGACAGGATCATCCTCTGAAACTCATTTTTAAAGTCTGATGGTGTTGCTGTTGTTGAATATTACATAACTTTATTATTTAAAAGCATATGATTAACTTCCAACATAATCCTGTATATTGAGTCTCTTTGATTTTGGCTTTTTCAGCATCTGAAGGAATACTTGAGGAATCAGGAGATAGTAATAAAGAACATGAAACACAACTTGTAAAACCAAAAATGGGTGAGTTAAAAAATTTCGGAGATGTGAGTAGATGTTTTGAAAACTAGATGTTTTAGTTGTTTACTTTATGCATTGCATTGACTAAGAATTAGCAAGGAGGTAGCAGTTATTATACTACATTTTTGAAAAAGTATGTCAGATTTTCACTAAAAGAAGAAGCCAATAACTTGTCCTCCTGATTGCCTATATGGTATGAGGCCTAAAAAAATTAATTGTTTTTTGCCCTTTTTTTTTTAAATGATAAAAAGAGGCAGGTGGAAAAATCAAATCAAATCAATCTTTATTCATTCCTTCAATAGTAACACATGCTGAAACTAAGGAGGCAAGCCTGTAAACTGATTCCGGTAACTTTAAATACAAAACCATCAAAATTACTGAAACAATGATGATGATGATGATCATAGTAATAGTGATAATAATAATAATAATTGTTATTTTATTTTATAAAAATTTAATTGTTATATTACAGTAGAACCCCTATTAAGGGGCCACCTTTGGGACTAAAAAAGTGTCCCCTTAATAAGGTTTCCCCCTGAATATCGGTACTGCTATTCGGAGGACACTGACCAAAAATTTGAAATTGTCCCCTTAAACGGGTTTTTGGCATGTTTTCGTATAATGATGACACAGATTCAATTTTATTTCAATTGACTTAAGAATGAAGTTATAGTTTTTATTTGATATTGATAACTAATTTATAACAATAATTTGCAATGCAAAAAATAATTTAACATAAGAAATTAACAGATATGTAAATTAAAACTACAAATTTTGTGTTTTTTTCCGATATTGTGTCTATTGGAGTGCAATGTTAATGACCAAATATTCTTTTTGTTAATAGTGAGATTTTTTGAAAATGGGCTTCTTTTCAAAAAAGCATAAGCTTCTTTTTTCGAGATGCTACAATACATACACTGTACATGAATTTCAGAAAACAAAATAAATTAAAAACAAGCTTGGTATATACATTAGTTAGGTGATTTAATGCCAGTTAAATACACTCCATAATACAGATTGATGTTACTACATTGACCTTACTTATTGTTTAATTGTAGAAATTCACAAAATTTACACCATTCATTTTAAAAGGAAGCCCCCTCTTTACTTTGCAAAAGTATCCTCGAAAAGAAGCCCATCTCAAAAAGAAGCCCATTCAAAGTTTGCAAAAAAAAATCAGCCCTGGGCTTCAATTTGAGGTTTTACTGTATCAAAATACACAAAACAAGAAATCTCCATGTTTAATGGTCAAAATTGGCAAGATTTTATTTATACAAAGTAACACATGCACTAAACATCCAATGCCCATTCTAAGGATGGAAAGAATTCTGGTTTGATGTTAAGTTTATTGCTCAAAAGGTTTCAAAATATAATTTTTTTTTTCATATTTTGTGACTACTGTAGTTGTTTGGATACAATAAAAAAAAGTATGGGTTAAATTGTATTGATTTTACCATTTTTTGTCATTTTTTTATTAGCCTTTATTAGTATTGTTTTTAGCCATGTTCTTTTTCATGTTGTCGTTGGGCAAATTTGTTATTGCCACGATAACTAGTTTAGTAAGTCTGTTTGATTTGAAACTTGGCAGAATGCAAGATGGTATTATAAGAAACCTATTGTTTTTGGTACATATGTGAATATGCTACTTGCTCCTTTGCAAAATTAATGTCACTAATCAGGTAAGTTAGGATGGTTACCACGATAAAGTTTGGTAATTCCAATTGGTTTTAAACTTGACAGAATATAAAATATTAATAAAAAGACAAGACCAAATTGTTTTTCATACATTTATGAATATGCTAATTGTTTATTTGCATAATAGATATTTCACTAATCAAATAATTTAGGATATTTATCATGATAACTAAAGGTTGGTAAGTCTTATTGATTTCAGACTTGGCAGAATGCAAGATGGTAATATGCAGACAGAGCATATTGTTTTTTTGTATGTGTGTGTTTAATAGAAATGGATGAAAGATATGATAAATGTTTTTCTTCCACCATGTATTTAAATTTAGTTTTTATGAAATGGAGTATTATATGAAATAGGCCCTTTTCACGCTGTGGTAGACATCTTCGATCGATGAAAAACAGTGCTGAGCAGCGAAGTGTAACCAATAAAAATAACATAGCGTTTCGACCATATTTTCAGAGGTCATATTACTTAGAAAAATCATAAATCCTTAACGGAGGGTTGTGTCAACATAATTTTTAAATTAAAGTGTTCACAAGGGATATATCTCTGTACTGTATGAATAAAAAAATTTGAAAATTTGTTTAGTCTGTCAAAACTTAACTGGAAAATGGAAGACCGATTTTGTGTAATGTTATTACACACACATTGCCATTATTTCACTGTTCGACCAAATATCATTTACCGTGCCGGCCATATTTTCGGAGGTCATGTTACTAAAGAATCATAACTCCTTAACAGAGGGTCGTATCGACATAATTTTTTTTTAAAAGGTTTGCAAACAATATATCTAAGTACTGTATGAGTAACAAAAACATTAAAATGTGTTTAGTCTGTCAAAACTTAATTGAAATAATAGCAACATGCACTGTACAAAATCGGTTTTCTATTTTCCAATTAAGTTTTGACAGACTCAACAAATTTTCAATTTTTAAAAATTCATACAGTATGTAGATATATCCTTTGCGAACATTTTTAAAGAAAAAAATATGTTGACACGACCCTCTCTTAAGGATATATGATTTTTTGAGTAACATGACTTTCGAAAACCGAAACGCTATGTTATTTCTGTTGGTTACGCTTCACTGCTCATCATTGTTTGGCATTAATTAAAGATGTCTTACCGCAGCGTGAAAAAGGCCTATTATGTATTGTAATGTTGTTAATTTGATATGTGCCCTGTCTTACTGGTTCTTCTGTTTATCATATTATTATATGTCCTTTAATGGAATTTTTAATTTTATCTATTATATTTTGACAGACATTAGTATATTTTCAAGCTCAGGATATTCAAGTGAAGGTAATATTATGTTGAAACTACACTTTGATATTTTCTGCATTATGTTTTGTACTGCCCTCAAATAGAGTGTGTAAACGTAAATGTTTTTCAGGTTCAAAACTTCTTTCATTTTTCTTTATCAATAGACTAGCTCCTTAATTATTGAACCTTATTGTTGTTTTAGTTTATTGCCGCTGTGACCTGATACTCGTTTTGCTAGCCACATGCAGTGGTTCCTGATTTGCATGAAATCCCCTCTTGTTATGGTACGTAGATTTACTTACCAATAACAAAGATGGCGCTGCTCTCACTCAGCATCAACTATAATAGTTCTTGAAAGAAAGCACATTTTTAGTGACTGTTCACTCGAAAAAAACTCCATGCACGTAGCGCTATGTAAATGAATCAAAAACAAAGCTGATGCAGCATGTGAAGAACGTTTAGTTTAGTGTGTTCCCTGCCATCAAGTGCTCACCGGTCCACACTTTAATCTGAGGGTACGTCTATTCAGTGTTTAACGCTCATGTTTGCAGCTTTCAGATGGGGCTTTTTGTTGACACTATTAAAGCATGCTCAAATCATGGAGGATATGCTATTGTAAGTTATTGTAAAAAAAATTTAATAATAAAAAATAAAGTGTCTTAAAATTGGGAAAAATTTTGAATGTCAATACACGATTCAAACTCATGAACTTAGAACACATCGAAAACCGACCGTGCCATCCATGCGACGTGTCTTATTAGTTGCAATGGCAGTAATATACTGTACAGTCCTTGCTAAACCCCCTTGGTTTGTTTTGTAGATGTAGGGGGAACCCTGGGGTTCAACTCAAAAAAGGGCCATGAACGTTTGTTGGAAATCACCTCTAGGTTATGTGTACAAAATTTCCTCTACATTCATTTAAAACTGGCAAAGCTTGATGCTTTTAAAGTTCTGGTAACAACAAGAACAAGGAGAGCAGTGAGGGGGTCCGCGTTGCGCAGATACAAAAATTGAGCATGGCGAATGGAAAGTACCTTTTTCTTCTCAATAAGCACTACTTACAGTCAATCATATGGCTGCGCAATCGTTTTTACCTTGAAGCAAGTACATTTATCTTTCATGGAATACCAAGTACATTAATATTTTCTACAAAAAAGAGTTTCAAATTTAATGAATCATTTGCATGAGCTTTAAGAGTATGGTATACTTCAACTTTAATTTCTAAAAGTCTGATAAAACTTGATAATTAAAATTTTAACAGATATTAATTAAAGGAGGATTATAATAAATTAAGTCATTTTAGGAATTGAGGGTTAACTCTTGAAAATCCAAAGTAAGAGTAATTTACAGTTTTACTCTACCTCAGTAGACAAAATTATAATGAACACAGAACCAAATGCAACAGAAATATTTTGTGGAATCTGTTCCTAAAATATACACATAATACATATTAAAATTCCCAAAAAATCCAATCAGGGGAACATTGTTACTCTTAAAGATATTTAATGAGTTAAAATGAAAGGGTTTATCGCACAACTGCTGTGTTGAAGTATATAAAAGCCTGTTGTTGCTAACAACACATTGCATTTTAGCATCAAAGGATCTCTGTTGCCAAGTGATCTCCTTCTCAATAATACCTCCATGATTTGATAGTCGTTGCTTTGCCAGCCGTCCTCAGCTGAACTACTATACATCTAGGACTTAATTTAGTTGTAGTTAAAACTTTGACTACATTATTTGTGAATATAAATTGAAGTTTAGAATAATAAACATTATAACAAAATTGGAATTGGAAGCACTGATCATCCTTGACAATGACAAAAACCTACTGTTCTCCCCTCCAACAAAAGAGGGCTAGTTTAATAATGAATAGGTTAGACTGCCAGTCAAAAATGGTGAACCTTCTGGAAAAAAAGAATAGGCCTATATATACCAAACTTGAAAAACATCCCACATCCAGGTGCATGAGAGAATTTGATAACAAAAGATATCCCACGACAGACGAAATAGCTACTGTATGATTTATGATACACTTAAAATACATGAAACTAACAAACTTTAAGTATGTTAATTTTTTCTATTCATCTTTGCTTGAAGGCTCTACTCAGTGGTGTAATCCACTATTACATTAATATATAAAGTAAGTTAATAATTCAAAATCAAGTTCAGATTATTCTGTAATTGTACAGTTTTGTTTTTGTTTTTGTTTTTGTTTTTGTTTTTTTTTGTAGTTCAGTATGGTTCATGCATCATAAGTGATGACATGGAATGGGAGAGTCAGATGGCGGTGGACTTAACTCAAAGAAGACCAGAGTTAAGGTTTGCTATCCTCAAACATTGGAAGTTGAGCAAACCTGAAACTATTAATGATTTAATAGCAAGAAGCAGGAAAGTAATCATTGCATTTTCACCAAAACCTTTGACTGAATATTCTAAATGTGCAGCACACAGTGTTGTAAAAATGCTGGAAGCAAACATTCTTGATGATGCTCAGATAATACCAATCAAAATTTCAGAAGATTCTGTTGTACCTCCTGAGTTTGCATCATTTACTGTCATCAATGCCAGTGAAGAGAACTTTGTTGATAAAATTTTGCAAGGCTTAATTGAGAGTGGTAAGTATTGCAGCCCTGCTATTTGTTGTTATTCCCACCATTTTTTTGTTGATTATGCAAAGTGAGTAGATCAGTATCAAGACCAAGATAACAGAAAGTAAATAAATCATGTATTAAAATGTAGCAGAGGTATGCACTCTATCAAGTGCCTACTTGATTTATTATTACCTGTAATTTTTTTTTAATCAATTTTTTTCAATCAGCCATATGGCTGTAGGTTACGGTACCCCTGACTTAACCGCTCAGCCATTCAACTTGCTAATCATTATCATAAGTATTATAATTATCAATATTACCAAGTATATTATTCTTACCAATGATCATACTATCATTATATTCATATGCATACAAGCGCATTAAAATTTATAAAAAAAAAAAATTACAGGTAATAATAAATCAAGTAGGCACTTGATAGAGTGCATACCTCTGCTACATTTTAATACATGATTTATTTACTTTCTGTTATCTTGGTCTTGAAACTGATCTACTCAACTTTGCATAATCAACAAAAAAATGCTGATATTATCAGCACTGATTCTAACAGCACACTCGCTTATGATTATGGAGGTGGAACAAGTCTCGGATAAGGGATATAAGCCATACGCCCAGTGACGACATTGGCTCATGTGTACTATAAAGAACCCAGTACATCTTTCGAGACGAGATATAGCTGGGACCGGTTTACCGGGGAGCTCAGACATGCAGAGACCCTTAGGGGAGAAGCAAGTTACTCTTCAAGCTAGTCCACTCCTCAAGCGCTTTGAGATCCGGTATAAAGCACTGTATAAATTGAACTACATTACATTATATGATGAAATAGATGTATATAACAATGATGGCAAATATAAATAATATATAAATGCTGTTAAGTGGCATTGTAAAAATTAGCTAATTGTGATAATAATAGAAGGATTTATATAGCGCAAGTAAATGAGGTCCCTATGCGCTCGGGACTAGATGTTGCACTTTTCAATAACTTTCTCCTCCCCTGAGGGTCACTTCATGTCCCCTGCAGCCTGTCCACGACAGGGGCAGAGTGAACCAGTACACTGTTGTAACCCTCTACTCATCTCGAAAGATGTACTGGGTTCTTTAAAGTGCACATAAGCATTTGTGTACACAGGTCCTACGGTTTATAGTCCTTATCCGAGAAGCTTGTTCCACCACCAGAACTATTGGAGCGAGCCGGCCACGACCCCTTGCCAATATTGTTGGTTATGATCATGTTGCCTTAACCGCTCGGCCATTTCGCTTGCTCAAAAGCTGATATTAACAGCTTTAACAATAGCAGCAACAGTATTACTTTTATCGATCAAGAACCTTGCTGTGTTAATGTGTGTAATAAATCTTTTTATCACTTTAAATTGATTGTTTACACAGTGTAATCAGACATGCCAGCCACTCCGATTTTGGCGGACTTATTCTGTTTATTTAAGCAAAACTATGCACTGCGATTTTTTGGGTCGAAAATCTTCGCTTTTTACGCATTTTGGCCAGCTGAAATAAACCGTGCATACCCGAATAAAAATGATAATCCTATGATTTAGATAAGAACAAGACCACTTAATTTCGTCCTGAAAACAGCGCTCTGAACTGTATATGAAATAGTAATTCGTGCTCTAAGGTCTACTGATTTCGAAAAAAACCATTTTCATTGAACAAATCGCTGTCACAGTTGCACTCTGAACTGTATACGAAAAATTAATTCGCGCTCCACGGTTTACTGATTTCAAGAAAACAAATTTCATTGGCCAAATTGATGTCAACAGTCAGAGTTGCACTGTATGCACTCTGAACCGTATAGTGCGCCACGTCTACTGATTTTGTAACAACAACAGTCTATTAAAGCGCCATTTCGAAAATGGAGTCCGATGAGAGCGATATGGTTGTAGGCCTTAGGCAGGGTTCGAAAAACGAGTAGTAGTGTTGAGCTTCCTCCAAAAAAGAAGCTAAAACTCACACAAACATGCAAGTTAATAACGGAAAGTATCCTGTCAGTGGCACTTGTCAGTTTGAAATCAAAATTACTGTAGGTGATGCCTATGGTAGGCGGTGTGGTGTTGATTTTCTGCCTAGGCCTAGGGCCTAGTTCTGCACAGCGGTATTACTGATTGTGAATAAAAACGGTTGCACTTTACAATCCGATCACATTGGTACCATGTCTTACAAATAATCCTTCCACATTTCCAAAACTCCATTTAGGAGTTTTTCAGACTCCTCTTGTGCTTTGTAGGGTTGGCATGTCTGTGTAATTAAGAAGGTCACACACTGTGCAAAGTGAGATGTACACGTCATGTAAAAAAAATTACATACTACCTACTGCAATTGTAGAAAATTCCACAATTCGTTAAACAGAGCGATATTTAAAATCTTTGGTTACATTAGAACACAACCACAGCTGCCACCATAATATGTCATGAATTCCTACTTCCGATCATATTTCCGATCGGTAAAGAAATGACTAGGAATCCCTCTTTGACATAAAATACAAACACTGCTGACAATGCTGTAACACAATTCTCAAATAAACTTTTATTCTGTTTGAACTCCAACAAGAATCCGGTCTCAAAACAACACAATAACATTCACATAAACAACCAACAGAAAGATAATACTTCCATCTTATACATTAGCCCTAGAACTCCAGAGCATTCTGTATTGTATTCTGTATAAGTTCCTCATTGGTCTCCTTACAATGTGTCAAACAGTACCTAAGTATCCAGAAGCTTCCAAACATTACTCTTGGATTCGACATAGTGTCATGTGTTCCTATACTTACCAATGTGGTTTGCACTGTTTGGCCGCCCTCTATTTCAAATTCTTGGATGCGCCACTGATATCGATATCGTATGGGGTGTCATGGTGCCAAAAAAGATTAAATGAAGTTGACATGGAAGTGGGTGATTCTGATTGGTTTATTTTTAAGATACCGTTATAAAATAATGTAAGTATATTACATGAATATAAAACAAAATAACATACACGAATATTACAGATTGATTCAGGGGCATTTACCGTAGTTCAAACTAGCTATACATTCAAAATTTACTGGCTTACCCCAGCGTTTTTTTTTCCCCCCAATAAATTTAGCACTTTGAAATTAAGCGGGTGTGCTACTGTTATTTCTTGTAACCCCCCCCCCCCCAAGTATTTCCAAATTTTAAAAAAATTATAGAAGAAAAGAAAATTATACTCAGATTTTTAGTCTAAGAGTGCCATTTTCTGTCATCTAGAGGTGCCATAATCATAAAATTTCTTACCTCAGCCCAACTATTGTGGGACTGAGGTAATATAGACCCTCCATCTGTAAAAGTCCCTCTTCGGCCACCCTCTATTTCAAATTCTTAGATCCGCCACTGATATCGATATCTTAGGGGTGTCATGGTGCCAAAAAAGATTAAATGAAGTTGACATGGAAGTGGGAGATTCTGATTGGTTTATTTTAACAAAGCGTGATACTGAAGATTGTAATCATGTTGAAACTTGAATCTGAGCATTCCACTTTTAATAATGATAATGATGATGATGAACAAATATCAAAGGTTTTACTGTACATGTTCCCGATATTGTTTCATGATTCGAGTGCAATATTAATGACCAAATATTTGTTTGTTTTTTTTTTTTAATATTGAGCTTTCTATTATTTTATGTACAAGACATATACGGCATATACACTATGATAATAATACTATGTGTTAGCTTACGAACTTTTCCTAATAGCATGCCCTAGCATCAGTGGCATAGGGGTCTTTAAATGGAATGGGAGCTGATGGGGGCGGAAAGGTGAAGTGGGGGATCGATGATTAGGTGAGGGGGAGTTAACTTGCAAGATAAGGTGATTGAGGTGAGTTTTATAACTACTTGAGCAAGATTTGGAGCCACTAGGGGAGGGACAAGTATTTGTTTTGGAGAGGGTGGCATGCCCTCCACTCGCACACCCTAGATACGCCACTGCCTAGCATACCCTGCACTTTACCCTACAGTCTGCCACTGCTGGTTTGATGATTAAGTTCATTACTCAAAAGGTGTTAAAATATAATTTTGGAATGAATTTTCAGGCTGTTGAACTACTACTGTTATTTTGATACAATCAAAAAAGTGTCCCCTTAATAGGGGTTAAATGTATTGATTTGACCATTAGCCACACTCAGAAAGTGTCCTTGTCCCTTTAGTAGGGGTGTCTCCTTAATAGGGGTTGGCCGTAGTGTCAAAAGATATATTTCGCCTCGTTTCACAAAAGGTGAGCTCTAAACAGAGAGGGGAACTACTTGCTAACGGGAATTTACACTAAATATTGTATAAGTACCAAAATATGTGTATTTTCAAAAGTCGGAGGATGATAACTGATGGTTTTTAGGAACTTCATATTACTATTATTATAGGAAAGAAATCGAAAAAGGAAGAGCAGGTGTATTTAAAGGACGTTAGAAACAGATGAAACAAATAAATGATAAAATAACATGTATTACATTAATATAAAACATCAGCAATTATTAACATAATACATCATATTGATACATATGGCCTATGGAAAATATTGTATTATGATTATTTTTAATGCTATCAAATGATTAAAGAATTATAAAAACCATAGAATAATTTTGACAAATAAATACTGTATGTTAAAGATACGAAAAGTTTCACATATTTCAGAATTTAAGCCCCGGACATTAGTAAAGAAATACTTTTATGTCCAAAAATATTCAAATGACGTTGGAAACAGATGAAGAGAATAAATGATATAGTAACACGTATTACATTAATAAACAAAAACATCATTAGCTGTCTCTAATACACATCTAGATGTTTATAAGAGACAGCTCAAAAGCTGATATTAACAGCTTTAACAATAGCAGCAACAGTATTACTTTTATCGATCAAGAACCTTGCTGTGTTAATGTGTGTAATAAATCTTTTTATCACTTTAAATTGATTGTTTACACAGTGTAATCAGACATGCCAGCCACTCCGATTTTGGCGGAGTTTCTCCTTTTATTTAAGCAAAACACAGCACTCCGATTTTGGGTCGAAAATCTCCGCTTTTTACGCATTTTGGCCA